CAAAAGAATACTTGTTTGTATAATCGGTTTTACAGACAAAATATGAAACGTATCATCCCATGTTCGTAACAAAAATTTATTATCTATATTACTAACATTGTCTTATTTAAGTACTTCACACTTTACGGTGCTTTTTCAAATTCTCAGGTTTGATGAACTAAATGACAGCTAGCAAGAGAAGTAAAATAAAAAGTTATTATCTGTCTGTCTATTTGGTTATTGTTAATTTGTTCTTTTATCAAAAATATTACATGCAAAGTAACACAACAAATTAACAATAATAAAATATGTAGTACTCAATACTCATCTTCCTTTATTGAATCATTATTTTTTAGAAAAAATTATTTATTGGAAATTCTGATTTTTCCTATACAAAAGAATTATAATGTTTACTGAAAGCTTTCCAAAATTCGTGAAGATACATAAATCATATCGTACCGAACGATGTATCGATACAATCATATCACGGTTTCACGATACGATACTCTTATCGTATCGCCACATCTACAGTACATAGTACACAGCGTCCGAGCCAAGTGTTCGTAAGTTGTGCCGTCAGTATAGGGTGCACTGTGGTCTAAAAATCCTGGTTCAGAAACGAAAACATTAACATTCTTTCAGGTGCTGGAGAATAAGTAATAAACAAAATATCTCGTAAATTTGAGTATTATATGGTTAGATAACTCATATTCTCTTTCCTTTGAAGGCTACATATTTAAATAGTTTCTAAAATCGGCACGGTGGACTGAGGATCCAGCTTCCAAAATCAAAAGATTAACATTATTTCAGCTGATAACTAATAAGCAGACCCATGACCTATTAAAAGTGAAAATTACATGTTAAAATAAAACTATTTTTTATGACAATTTCCCAACTCTTACAAAAACCAGAAATCGTTAACTTACCAGGAATGCGAGATAATTATTCTGATTTTTAAAAAATGGTTTCTTCAAACTTAATTCCATCTCGGGTTTTGAAGACTGTTTAAAAAAAAGCTAATGGAACACTCAACGTTGTATATGTACATGGTCAGAAAGAAATGTTTAGCTCTTGAATCGAATGTGATATTTCTAGTGGGTCAGCGGTACGTTTGTGGACTTACAACTTTAAAATCCGGAGTTCGATTCTCCGCAGTGGCCAGAGCGCAGATAGCCTAGTATATAGCTTTGCGCTAAATCAAACAAAACATTTATTTAAGAGAATATACATTATTTGTGACTTTTTTCTTAAAATTGTACTTAATATGCTATTATCTGATATTCACAGGAGCTACTATAAGTTTTCCAGAATAAAAGTTTCATTGTTAGTATATATGCAACACAAAAATAATGGTAATTAATTTACGAAATTTACGTAATCTGCTAGTCGTGGGTTCTAATCCCCTTCATCAACATGTTCGTCGTGGTGACATTATAATGTTACGACCAATCCCACTATTCGTTAGTAAAAGAGTAGCCCAAAAATGGGCGGTGAGCGGTGTTGACTAGTTGCTTTCACTCTAGTCTATCACTGCTCAGGGACAGCTAGCGCAGATTCGATGACGAGGAACCCACTTTGAGACTAATAATGGCTGGAGACGGCTTAAATGGGTAATGAAGAAAAACTTTAATATAAGTTTAACATGACAGCAAATGTACAACGTTTCGACAAGGTTTTGTCATCATCAGCAATAAGAAAGGTCTTGATCTACGGTTCATTACACCCAGAATAGTAATGAACGTGGTACGAACTATGCTCTTTCCCAATCCAAATTAGCATTTGTGCTGCCATCTGTTGTTCAATCAAGTAATCTTTAAAGCTTTTGTTTTTTGGACTTTGCTCAGAGATACATGTGGGTTATCTTTCTTAGCTGACCCTAATTTTGAATCGATAGATTAAGGAGAAGGCAGCTAGTCAACACCACCAACTCTTGGCAGACCGAATGGCGAGATGATACTTGCGTGTCACAAGCGAGGAGTATATTGTTTGTTTTTACTTTGCGGTAACGGGACATGAACCAAGGAATCATATCTAGGTCCTTCTTTACAGGTAGAAGATGAATAGTTTTCTCAGAACGTTACGCAGTTTTGACTTTTAGTCGATTGCATAACAGAGAATAGTACAGTTATTAAGTTACTGTTGTGCCCCCAGTGGGTAAACTGCAAGTTTACGGAATCACAACACTAATATCCGGGGTTCGATTCCCGTCTTGGATAAAGCGCAGATAGTTCATTGTATAGCTTTGCGCTAAAACAAGTTAATGTTATGCATTGGTGTTATTTAGGTAAACCATTCTTTGAGACAATTTTAAGATATATTAACGATATAAACATGTCTTGAATACATTTTTACCTCCGCCACCAAAGGTTATGTTTCACCCCTCTCTGTGTGTTTGTGTGAGTTGTTTGTGTGTTTGTCAGCAAGTTTTCTCCCAAACGGCAGAATGGATTTAGACGAAAGTTGGTATACATTTGGACTATGAGTCAACTTAAAATAGAATACTTTTTAGTGTCAAGGTCACGAAAATCCAAAAAATACCTATCTCTTAACATGGGGAATGATTTTTCACACTTGTTGGACATATGTAGAATATTATTCCTCATTCCTGCCAAATATGGTCTGTGTCCGTTGATAACTACGGACATACGGACGCATTTTCGTATTTTTTGAGAGCCGAATATGATCAACGCTGCCCCGCTAGTTAACTATGTGTTGTTAAAGGTTTGGTTAGCAGGCATAATTTCACGATATAATTGCTTTTTTTTTCTTTTTTTTTTTGTCTGAATGATTTACTTTCTATATTGAATGTACTGCTCTTCAACTACGTTCTAGTAATAACATAATAGAAATATCAGGAATCTGTTAGCTGTTTAAGTTGATTTAATCATACACCTGATGGACTTTAATGAATTTGCTGGTAAAGTTTATAGATAATTAAATTAATCGACTCAGCTCTCCATCTCCACGAGTGGAAAATTGCCGTGAAGCTTATTTAATGTTAAAACATCGTTTACGTTCGGTCTATATAACAGATCATATAATAATCAAACAGTTCAATTATAAAAGGAATAAAATAAACATTGAACTAGTAGATCCTAGAACTCAGTGACCTTAGAAATACCCTTAGACTCATAGCAAATGTTGACTGGGGATACATAGTTCCTTTTATTTTTATTTAGTTTAATAAACATGTTAAGCTTACACATTGAACAATTATTGCCTTGTTATGAGGGTAGCAAATGACCTGTTGCCCGAAATCACCAGTCAATGATTGTTTTATTATACACTTCTTCTATTTTCCGTTTTACTAAAATCTGATTAATTAGCGCTGTCAAATAGTATATTTAGCCTATATCCCTGACCTTCATATAAATCTTAAAGTTTAACATTTCATTAAAGATGTTGATCTAGTTTTAAGAATCAAAAATATCTCAATGACATTTAGAAATTGTTTATTTGTCCATGTTCATTTTATTGGTTTGGACAAATTGTATTTACACCGAAATGAATCAGCGTGTTTTCACCTTGTTGCAAAAATTGTCGTCTGCAAAGCTCTAATGCGACGTACGCATGCGTGATAACGGTCTTGACAACCGGCAATTTGATGAGATTTGTTGATCTGTTTGTTTGTTATCGGTATATATTTAGGTTTAAAGTTTCTTAGCACAGGGCTGAGAAACCACCGGGGATGTTCAGAAACGTCAGTTTCTCTTCATTGGACGGCGACTCGTGAACTTATTATATTCTAAATAAGTGCGTGTAAGGCTTGGGCTGACTGATAAATTAATACGTTGTATTAATGGGCGGGAGATGGTTGGGCTTCAGGGCAGCTGTATCTGTGGTGAGAAAAACCATAATAATAATATTGTTGATCTGCTTTTCAAAGCAATGTTGTATATGTTTAATGCCACCTAATTGAGTCTGCATATTTTATTCACGTTCATCTAAAGTCACACGTGAGACCAAGAACTCTAGCTGGGGTGACGTATGTGTGTGTGTGTGTGTAAAGGTGATGGGGGGATTTAAAGTGTTAAGGTGATTTGGAAAATCACTCTCTTTGAGTTTTGTGAGAGTTTATATTAATGTGTCATTTATGCCCCTCAGTGGATCAGCGGTAAGTTTACGAACTTACAACGCCGTTCCCCACTGTGGACATAGCCTAATGTGGCTTTGCTTTAAACCAAACAAACAATATCAACAGCGTCATTTATTGCTCAACTCTGTCCATCGTTCAGATTATTTGAAACTTGTGAATTTACATTTTATTGTGCAAGAATAAATGACACAAGTTCTTAGTGTCGCAAAGACATGCAGCATCAATAAACCGTTTTGTTGGATTGAAGAAATGAAATAAAAGTGGTTTATTTAAAAACGTATTTTTTTATCCACTAAACTATAAAGATTAATTTCTGAAATGTATTGTGTCGTCTGTCAATCAACACCCCCTCTGCCCCGTTAAAAGGAAAATCCGCCTGGTTTTTTGTTCAATGTCTTATTTATAGCCTAGATTTGTGCATGTAGTTTTTTATCTTCAAGTTCAATTGTCACGTGGGTTTGGAAAGATGGATGTTATTTGACGATTCCAACTAAATCATTTTTTTTTAATTAAAGCATTACAAAGACGTTACAAAGCATTAAGAGAGATAATAACATTGTTTTGGGTAATTGCCTTTGAACTTAAACTTCATCAAAAACGTTGATGTATTTTTAGTAGAAAACGAATAACCATTCTAGTTTCTAATCTATTTTCAGCTAATTAGTTTGTATCTAGTAATAATTCTAGTCTATATAATCAGAAATATTCTATAGAAACCATTTACATTGGTTTTCATGTACTTGCGAAAACAAACAAACAAACTATATTTCCATTGACTGGTTCAACTTGAATAGTTGTCTTGAAGTTGGAATCAAGTCTTCTTTTATCCCCCACCCCCTCGATCCGCCCTTCTTTCTCCTAATATAAGGACATAAATAGGGGCGGTATATAATTAACGAAGACAGAGATACTGGGTAACCAAGATGCAAACGACAGTTCTAGTGGCACGTGACAGTGTTCTGTGACGTGAGATGTGTCGTGACTTGCGATAAAATTGAAAATGTAATAGAAACTTCAGTACTTACAAGCTAATATCAACCCTTGAGACGCAGAGGCTCTACATAAGCTTTTTATTTGTCGATCGCGGAATGTGTGCAGGATTTAAGCGTTGTTAAATCATTGAAGTTGTAAACTGACGTTTTAGTTAATAATCAGTATAATTAAAGGTTCTGTTTGGCTGCTAAGATAGCAGGTTACTTCAATTCGGTTACAAGGATAACAGTATTCAAAATAAACAACGTTAATGCTTTTATGAATAAAATTGTACCATAGTTTATTCAAGCTTTTGCGTATGTCAAGAACTGGTACGTTTTAAAACAAGGAAATACGCTTTCCATCTGCAGCATTAGCTAGTACTGGTTTGTAAATATCGGTTCAGAAAGAAGATTTTCTAATGTGAAAATGTTCAATTAATCGTCTCTCGTACAGGAAACCAATTGTGTGTTTACTGCTATAAAACGTATATTTTTCCACAAGTTGTTTCTAGTAACCAAAATCTGGGTACTAAGGTTCTTTGTGTTTGCTACTAATAGAGAAGGTTGTCTGCACATATTCGGTAAATTTTCCAACCAGTGGTCATTTGTTTTATATGTTTATGGTCAGTTTATTATTCGCATAGCCAAGTGATAGAACAACAACAAAAATCCGTGAATTACTTTTGTTACAACTACGACAATCAAGAGAAACACTACTAAAATTATCTTTGAAATCCGAGAATTTCAAAGTTGTTGGTTTTTTGTTTTGTTTTTTAATAGAGAATTTTCAAATATTCACGAAACAAGAAGATCTGCTAATATTCAGCTCTCAGTTTGTTCCTAGTCGAGAAATTCGGTGTAAAAAGGAGGTGTGCAAGATCTTGGCGTGAAAAGTTGGTCAGTTAATAATAATTCTTGTTTACTGCAACAACTGTGAGATGAATTATTGGTGTACTTTATTCGTTGCTAGGAGCATTAATAATTGGATGTGGATTTTCACAATATCGTTTTTGTGGGTGTGTGGCTGGCATGTACAGAAAGGTGTTTCAAACAGTATGCCACGTGAAACGAGGCTACTCAGACGGCCATATCATTCTACTCAAACCACCAACTCAGTAAATGACCACTCTAAGACAGAAGAAGTAAGTAGAGCATTTTTATAACACTTAATAAGTATATTCCGGTGACAACAACTTGTTGGAAACGATTAGAACGTTTAGAATAAATAACAAACCCATTGTTTGCTTCACGGTGATATCATGTACTGAAGACTAGTTTATTAATTTCTGAAAAGTGCACGTTGTGGAATTCAATATAAATCATTTCATGCATCTGGATTTCGTAAGATATAGGGATCTATTACATGTGGAAGAATTATTAAAATTTAAAGTCCTGGAAGTATTATTTCACAATGCAGCGCGTATTTAACTGTTTAGCATTTCGAAACGTGTCTCAAGTAAATCGAGTAGAATAAATTCAAGGTCTCAATACTGTTGTGATCCACGCTTGTAAAATCTTGGTTTCCTTGTGAAGTATGGTTCTTTGTGTGTTTCAAATTAATTGTGGATGATCAAATTGATAGAAGACAGTCAGATGCTTATAGTAATAAATGCTTTCATTTATTGTCATAATTCTTTGTAATTTGTTTCTTTGTAATTAAGCACAAAGCTACACAATGGGCTATCTGTGTTCTGCCCACCACGGGTATCGAAACCCGGATTCTAGCGTTGTAAGTCCGCAGACATACCGCTGTGCCACTGGGGGCTATTGTCATAAAATAATTACAATATAAATGTTTCTCATCACCAGATGTATCCATGACATCCGCTTTTCAATATATGACTGGTTAATTTTAGTATTTTTCAAAACAATTTGACAAAATAATGAGATACTATGACAGCAGAAGGCCCCCAGTGGCACAGCGGTATGTCTGCGGACTTACAACGCTAGAATCCGGGTTTCGATACCCGTAGTTGGCAGAGCACAGATAGCCCATTGTGTAGCTTTGTGCTTAATTACAAACAAACAGACAGCAGAAGTTAAACAACTTTGAAACTGGACCTGTGAAGTTCATAAAAGTATTGTTGCTGCAACTGCTATAGCGTTGTAACTTACACTTTTAGTTTATTTCAGCATTTCTGTGTAACACTGTTGTGATATTTTGAGTTTAAAAGTTTTCAGTTTGTAGGACATTGTTACCTTTCTGGTCTGCCATTTTTATTTGCTTTTGTCTTTGAGTACATGTTGCACACGAGGATATTAATTTTTTAATTAGAAATTTCACAGATATGAATGGGCAAAGGGAGAATTTCAAAATACTAATACTCGCAACGCGATTTTTAAGTGTATTATAGCTTAACAAAAAATCTACAACATTGCAAAAGTAAGCGACCAATTTTTTTGAATTGCTTCAATGTTTTGTATCGCAAAAGCCAGAGCTAAATTTACTAAACAAAACATATTTCGAAAATAAATAAATAAGTAACAACTAGCGATTAGTCGAATGATACAGTTTATTATCGTCAATCACATGGTTATCATTACCACAGCTCCAGAAGTTAAACAAATGATACTTGGCGCCTAGGATATAGTGCATGTTTGAGTACAAGTAAATAGATGAAAGCGGTAATCACATTGATATACAGAAAGGATAATTTAAAGCAATCTTTGTAGCATCCGAGAAAAACAATAACAAAAGTCTGTGCAACATTTTATTCTTACAAATTTTTAGTTCCTTTTAATAAGTATGGCGATTTTTTGGATGACAAAAAAAAAAAGAATTAGTGAAAAAACAAAATAAAATGTTAAGACTTATGTGTTTTCAGAGTTGTTGAGTTAGATTGCTTTTGGGGAAAATGCTACGGTTCTGTTTATTTGTTTCGCTCAAACACACTCAAGAGCTATCCCTTATTTTGAACTGATAGACTAGAAAGAAGGTAGCACATTTTGAACTGATAGACTAAAAAGAGGGTAGCACATTTTGAACTGATAGACTAGAAAGAAGGTAACACATTTTGAACTGATAGACTAGAAAGAATGTAGCACATTTTGAACTGATAGACTAGAAAGAAGGTAGCACATTTTGAACTGATAGACTAGAAAGAAGGTAGCATATTTTGAACTGATAGACTAGAAAGAATGTAGCACATTTTGAACTGATGGACTAGAAAAAAGGTAGCACATTTAACTGCACTCACCACCAATTCTTGGGTTATACTTGTCTAAGTGAATAGTGGGATTTGACTATCACTCTTATAATACACCCACAACCTCAAAATGCAAAGCGTGTTTTTCTTTTTTTGCAATAACGGGACGCGAATATAGAAGTCGCAGCTCCATAGTCCAGTACACTAATTATAGACTCATGCTCGGCCATCTCTACGTTAATATAGGTTAGTGTAATAAGTAACACATTACAGATCCATATACATTTAAATACCGATTATGAAATTCCCATGATAATCATTCTTTACAAATTGGTTAAAACACTAAAAATATTCTAATTTAAACAAAATCATTTCACCATAATTACTTACACTGAAGCATAATTTAGAATATGGTTATTTGGAAAAGTGGGATTCATGGGTACTGTTTTAACGACTGAAATAGTAATGAATTCCATCCTTCAGTGGAATATATCTTTATTCAGGTATTTCCAAGAAATATGTTTTTTTTTCTAAATGTACATGTAATTTCTGAATATAGTGAATTATATCCTTATTGAATGACTATCTCAAGACCGTGAACAAATGCTAACCCTTTTACACGGGTAAAGGCTATATACTGCAACGTTTGTCCTAGACTTTCAAGCTAGCCTCCAAGCGTTTCTGTATGGATTTCTTGGATAACAGCCTATTTATACTGGCAGTAGAGAAACTTGCATACTTTGGTTGGCTTAAGATTTTGTTTTACATCGGTTAAAGTATGTTACCTGTGGACTTGTGGGATACTTGACTTTTTTGTATTTCCACAGCTCTGTGTTTCTTTATTTCTCTTGGTCTTGTCAACCACAGTAGCTAGAAGAGATAGAAGAGGTGCGGCGAATTATGTCACAAAACATTGTGCTTGTGTGTCAATTAAAGGATGTTTATATTACAAAATATATTTTAGTTTGCTTATTTTCTTTTATTGTTATAATTGTTTTATTGTTATAATTTATTATTCGCTTAACAGCCCTGAACATGCATCTTATGGATACTTTTTGGCTCTTGTGTTGGACATCGGTGAACCTGAGTGCCATATTGTGACCCTGATTTCTATTGTCGCAGTTAGATCGAGTGCTAGTTTTGAGATAAAAGGCTAGGTTATTAATACACTTTGTGTTTCACCAGACACTAGTATTAAGCTAAAGGAGGACTGATAGTATGAATTAGTGTGCGGCAATAAGGGATGGTCATGCTAATGGAAGAAGTGAGTTGATTTTACAGTTGAATCAATATTCTACTGTAAAATTGTCCATGTGAAAGGGAGAAGTCTTAACAGGGTTAAGTGACTCACATTTTGATTGTTTAACTACGATCGTGTTAACCCTACCAACACGGATATTTCACGTACCCACACAATGTTGTTTCATGGGATAAGCGTATTCGGTGTAATACTTGTGTAGATAATAAAGTGTTAGCCGCTCCCTCCAATAATTTTCTAAAGACTTAAAGTGTTGTAATCCCCTAATCCCTTAGAGACTGACCAACAGACAACCCCTTTAAAGCCTCTCTTAACTGCAATCGATGTCCTTTACACCTAACTTCATAACAATGCACAAACGTCTTGATCCAGTATTCTATTGTCAAAGTACAGTCACGTTAAGGGAAAGAGAAAAGAGTAGTATGAATCAGAGTTCTAATGTCAGAGTATGATCGCGTAAAGAAGAGGGGAGATTAGTAAGGTACTAGTATGAGCCAGTGTTCCAATGACAGAATGTGGTCGCTGACGAAGAGGGGGAAATTAGTAAGGTAGTATGAGCCAGTGTTCCACAGTAAGAGTGTGGTCGTTTGAGGAAGAGAGGGGATTAGTAAGGTAGTATGAGCCAGTGTTCCACAGTAAGAGTGTGGTCGCTTGAGGAAGAGAGGGGATTAGTAAGATAGTATGAGTCAGTGTTCCACTGTCAGAGTAAAGTAGTGACAGGGAGAATGAGATAGTTTAGGATGGTGTGAATTTGTGGCTCACTTTTGATTAAGGTCGTATGTAACGTAATGATAAGAGAAGGTGAGATATCGTTTAAGATTCTGTGAGTCTACGGTTTACCGTCGGATGAAGGTGTAATTAGGTCAGGATGAGTATGAGATATCAATTAGGTGCAACAGTCTTGGCATATAATCATCAAAAACATCTTGATGCAGACAGTTGCTTAATTTTCCTAGTAAAAATCATTATAATCAAGATCATGGAATACACTTGGCATGAGTTTTTAAACTTGAATTTCATTAGCTTGAAATTTCTGTAAAAAAATCAACACAAGTTTAGTTATTCTTTATTTCAACAAATCTTATAATTTGAAAAAAATCTCCTAAAACTATAATAAAAATATTTAATCGGCAGTTACGCATTCTGGTAATGAAACAATATTTCAGTTTTGTTTTTCATTACTGTATATTTATGTCTATGTGTGTGTGTGTGTGTGTGTGAAGGTCTGTCGAGAAAACGGCCACCATCTGTGAATAGATTTTGCAAAGAGAATGTTATAAACTGTGTCCAGCAATAATGACAGTATAAAAATAGCACCACCAATAATGTAAAGCAATAAAAATCATTACGTCAAAATCATAAACGTATAGCTTTGCTATCTTTTTACCTAGAAATAAATGGTGTCATTTAAAATGTGCCAACCCTCTTCCATTTTACATTATCACTTGAATCATTTGTTTCAAGATTTCTTAAGCATTTTCTTTCACACATTGAATGAATGAATTCATCAAAGTACAATTTAAAAAATACATCTGAAATCAGATAGCTTAGTTATAAAAAAATCATTAAATTATTTGTTGAAATGAATTTCTGATCAAGTAAAAGCATAAATCAACTGGTTAGTAGAAATGAAATAAGAATGTAGTTCAAGGATCATAAAATAGTTTTAATTCTTTAATGTCCACCTACTGGAAATAACACTCAATTTCTTAAACTCCAAGATTTGTTCAGTGATCTA